ATTTTCTAGAACATAGTTCACAATTTAACAGTGTTTTCTGGGCATTCTAAAAATAATAACATATTATTACTATAGGATTCACTTTGAATAGCATATATATTACTCGCAACTGGGTACTAAATACATGGAGAGGTTGTTTCTTTTTTTTTTTTAAATCAAATGTGGGAAAACAATCCTGGCCTTATTTACACATTTTGGGCTTGGCTTGGAGATTCTGTTTCTGGAAGAATCTCCTTTCCCTCCTCTCTTCTTTGTATTTCCCCTCTCCTTACAGTAAAGATTGCCTGTTTTTAACAAATGGCTTCCTTTGCAAAGAGACAGAATATATCAATCTTAGTATTATGAATTCACCAAATGATAGGCATATACATTTTAGCACGAACATCCAATAAAAATAAATACATCTGCAGTGAACATGGTAAATTATATGCGAACTTACACTATAATAATAAACAGGAAACAGCAGCATCTGAGTCTGCAACTGGCTTCTCAGGAGGCTCCGTGCTTCCAGCTGTGGTAGCAGCTGTGGATCTGGCTCTGGAACTCTTGCTGAAACAAGCTGACAAAGGGCTGATTACAACATGGAGTTCAGTTTCTGCTTGGATTCATTTTCCTTTTAACACACTTTGGTTATGAAAAGTTTGCTCATTTACCCTGTTTGTGGTTTTATATCCTGCACTTCACAGTCATTGAGCTGGTGTGGTGATTATCACCATTCCTAGTGACCTTGATCGTGGGGACCTTATACTGTCTGTACCATTTGTGGAACATTGCAATTTGGTTTTGGCTTACTGGAAGAAATTGAAAACTCTCTTCCTCTTCCTTCTCCCTCCCCATCCCCAGAGGCTGTTCAGCTTTTTTGTCCAAAATATTACAGAGTAAAGTTGTTGGGGTTTATTTTTTTAATTATTTTTATATGCACAGAAAACAATTTAGGAGAAGACCAAATGATACTCACCTGCAGTGAAATCTGCAGAACAGGCAAGAGACTGGGTAAACTCTGCCAGGTGAAACAAGTAGAGAACTTCTTTTTATCACTTTTTATTAAAGGGAGGAATTCTGATTTCACAGAACCTGACTGAGCAAAACAGCGTTTACCCATGTGTTCCTAAAGCAGCAGTATAGATATATTCACTTATTGTAGGTCCTTCTTTCCACCTCTGGTTTCATGGGCTCTTTTCTTGATTGCATGCTAAAGACATAGTTAAGCTACTAAAATGTCTGGCCTTGATTCAGCAAAGATTTAAGCACATACTTAGGATTAAACACTTCCATTGCAGAGTCTGCTTTGTGAACTCCCAGATATTTGCTTCTGCTCTCATACTGTGGAGTGTCTCTGGTGAATATCCTGAGACCAAGACAGTCTTTTTCATTATAAAGTCTTTTTTTCTTTCAGTCCTGCCATCTTTTTAGAAAACAGCTGTATTCTCCAACTTAATTGAATCCCCAAATTAAATCCCAGTTGCCTCTGTAGCTCATTACTCAAACTCTTCCCTCTTTTTCCCTCTGCTGCTTTTCTTCACATAGGATCTTGCTTTTTCTCCTAAGGAAAAATACAGTATGCTCTTCCTTCTGTCACTCTCTTCTCCCTCCCCTCCCCTAATCCTTTCTCTTGCTCCTCCACTGTCAGAGCAGCAGGAGTTTCTTGTCTACTTTCCATCTGTACCCCTTCCACTTGCCCCAGTGACCTCATGTTCTGTTCTTCCTCTTATTTCTCCCCTCCCTTATTCTCTTCTTAACCTCTCACTGTCCTCTGGCTCTTTCCCACTGCCATATAAGCAAGTATTTGCCTCTTAAAAATTGCACCTTTGACCCTACTTGGTTCTTCATATCATATCTCATCGCCTATCTCTTCTTCATTCCTAAGCTCATTGAAGGCGCTGTTTATAATTACTGTCTGGAGACCCTCTTCTGTGATTCCCTCCTATAACTCCTACACTTTGGCTTCTGTTCCTTGCTTGCAACTGCAATAGCTCTCACCAAACTCCCTGATGACAAGATCTCAGAAACAGTAGTCTGTCCTCATTCTTCTTGACTTGTCAGTAGTGTTCGCTGCAGTTGACCAGACTCTTCTTTAAACCTGTGTCTTTTGTTGCTTTCTGTGGCTCTGTCGTGTTAATTTTCTTCTTTCTAAGGAGTTCTTCAGCATGTTCTTCAAAGTTGTCTCCCATTTTGGAGGGTTATGGCTGGAGGCCTTGGGGCTCTGCTTTGGCTGGATTCTCTTGTGCTTGTAATGCCTTATGGGTTATTTCCTACATAAAAAAGAAAATGTAACAGTCAAATGTATCTGTAGATAACAGATCTACTTTCCTATTGAAACCTATTTCCTCTCACTTAAGCTTATTAATTTGGAACCACACAAATACAATTACAAAGCATCCCACCTAGTGCTGCCTTAACTCTAGATGTCTTGGCAGATGCTCAGACCAGACACATGATTGTCTTCCCTCTTTCACACAGACATGCATATTTTCTCCTTTCATATGCTAGGCTCTCTGTACCCCTGCTAGCTGTACTCAGCCCTTGCCTGCATCTGTTCCAGCTTGCATTACTTTTTCTACAGATGATTCAAATTTTATCTCTTATTTCCAGTAAGAATATAGCAAGACCATGTCAAATGGAATTAATATTTTATGTCCTCTATTAAAAATGCTTATTTTGATATATGTTTGGAGTGCATTTTACTCTTTTACAACCTCATTTAAGCATTTCGCTTTCTTTGTCATTAGCATCAACTGAGTCCCATTTCTGTTGTAGTTCTTTACCTGTTGAGTTCTTTCAGTAATCCCTATTTTCTCTAGTTTAATATTGAATATTGGATGCCCAAATAGATTATATCTATCATATTTTCCTTGTTTAAAATGTCAGTCTAGTTACAATGGTGTAAGCATGCAGAGAGTTCATAATCTCAAACAGATTTGTACACTGTAGTAGGCAGATTCCTCAGGCCACCACAAACTTTCATACCCCAGCAGGCCCAGCTGAATTATGTGAGCTCAGGCAAGTTTCTGCTCGCTGGTGTGAACCACAGGGAGTATTCCCTTGTTCTCTAGATACCTTTTGGCCTGCTTTTACTTTTGTTTGCCCTTCCAGATGTCATTCATGCCACATTATCACTACCAAATGCACGTCTTCTTGATCTAACATATGTAACCATTAGGAACATGTAAAGATATATGTAATTAAAGGGAACATGTGCACATATGTACTGTATGTCTTGCATTTACTTTGTATTTAGTACTGTTCTTGCTCACTTCATCATAAGTGCTGTGGCTGATGTTGCAAAATAATTTCAGTAAAAATGTGTATTCACTAGCTCTAGGCACTGTAGTATTATGTAGAAAGCAGTCCTTTGGGTCTGAAATTTTTCATGCTTGGTTTCATTTGAAAAACTGTGTATACATGAAAAAAATTAAGGAAACTATCCTGAATTGTTTTTGAGTTATGGGTCACTGAAAAGCAGGGCAGTGTTTAACTGTTAACAGTAGCTACTTTTTTTTATATTTAATGTAGATAAAAAAATTTAGAACTTTGAAACTTAAACAGTGACATCTAAATTGGGGGTGATATTTAAGGAAGTCTATGGCCAAGTTTCAAAAACCTGGTTTTCATAATGACATACAGATAATTGAAATCATGCCTACTAGGCATCTGGACTAAAATTATGAGCAGAATGTAATGGACCCAACCACTTTCATGGAAACAAAATCCATTTCCATTTCTTTGTCAGGGCTGATCAAGTTCTTTTTAGGTACAAGGTTTGCTTCATTCTTACTGCTACTTCCAGTGTGCCAACACCATACCTTCATATAAGGGATGGAATATGTTCTATGTATTAAAATGTTGACATTTTTTTCCCAATTTGTTTTTGCCTGTTACTCATCCTAATTTCACATTCTATCAACCGGTTTCTCTTTCAACTGCAAAGAAACAATTAATCTTTTACCCTACGGACCTTGACTGCCTACAAACTGGCATCTGTTCAATCACATTTGCATTATACAGTGTATAATTTTACATTATATCCTTCAGTGTTGAGGGAAAGGGAATGGTGGGGAATCGATGAAGGCTCTTGTTCTTCTATTAAGCAGTTGAGCAACCTCCCACTGGGACTGGGGCTCTGCCCGCCTCTGAATCTGTTGTAAATCCCTCTACAGCCACACTTATTTTGATTTTGAATGGCTGTTTCTGGTTAGTTTAATCCTATTCCTAATCAATTTAAGATAAACAATTAGAAGTTTAATTGGAATTTCATGGCTCTTAATTGCCATTAAAAAAAAGAAATTTAAAACAAATTCTACACTAACACAGCATTAAGACTGAACAACGGAGGCTTGGTTGTGGCTTTCAATTTTTGTGCTTTATGGAGCCGATAGCTGCCGAGAGACACAGTCTGGCTTCTCAATTTCTTCTTGTCCCAAGAGGTACCTAAACTACAGCTTCCAATGAAGCAATAATTCTTCTGGGGCACTGGGACAGAAATGCCAGTACAGAGATAGAGGGTGAAAGCTACCCCATTCACCACAGCTCTAATGATTTATGAAATGGTGGGGTTGTTGTAAGTTGCTTGTGTCCATGTGTTGCTCTCTACGATCTGCATAGCTGGCACAAGGAAGAAAATAGTATCCTCCTCTGAATACCTTGTGTGGGCCAGGCAAGGCAAAACTTGAGCTGGCTCTTAAAACTTCAGAAGGAAATACCAAGAAAAATTGAAGTCTCTTGCAGTAGCGTTAGCTTGGCTGCATTGCCAGTTCTTTACAGCTTGTGACATACATTGAGCATAAATAAAGCTATAAATCTCTGTTCTGTGATTTAAAAATAAAATTGATAAACCTGTTATTTTTATCTGATGTAATTTTAACTTTTCATTCAAATATTTATTCTACATTGACTGGCTTGAATATTCAAAATTATATTTAACCTTTTTTTTATGTAACGTGGATGGATACAGATACGCATACATAAAACGGAAGTATCTTTGTGTGTTCTTTTTATTGTAGGTATGTGTCATGTGCATTGGGATGCCCATATGAAGGAAACATCATACCAGCTAAAGTGGCAGAAGTAAGAGTGAACTTCTGGGTGCCTTTTTAATGAATCAAAAATACATTTTAAAATGTCTATAAGTAATGTTCTCTACTTAATCCTAAAAAGATCTCTAATGGATAAAATTTAAGGAAAACAAACACAAAACATAGTTAATACTAAAACTGGGTGCATAACCTCACTCAACCATATGCAGTCAAATCTAAGGAAAATGGTATGTTTGATTGTTATCAGTCATGAGGAAAAATATTATGTGCTATTTCCTCCAACGAGAAGGTAAGAAAATGCTTAAGGAAATAGACTCAAGCACGTATGTCAGTGGACTATGTTGTACGAGACGATGTGCAGCAGAACCCCTTGCAAAGGGGATCTGCTTTGAAATCCATTTTATGCTGTTATAAGCATACTGTGCTGTCAGCCACTAGAGCTACTGCTACAACCTTGTGCTTCTGGCGAGTGTCATGTGATTGACACATGAACCAAAACTCATCCCCAACATGATTTCCTGCTACTTAACTTGCTCTACTGCTATGGTGGAATAAGCTGCACCTTCCCTCCCCACCCCCTTTTCCCACTTAGGATAAAGGAGAAGAAGGATGATGTCTTAGTCCAGCCTTTTTTTCCAGCAGAGAAAGAGATGAGTGAAACACAAGTGTTAAATTTTGCAGGAAAGCAAAGAGGGCATGAAAGCTGAAATCAACAGTAGAGGAGAAAGCGGAGAGAATTCAAGAGGCACAAGGCAGAACACACTGGCCTTCCTCCTGGAGAAAGACTTGTCTTCTCTGTTACGCTTAATCACCTGCTTTTGGTGAGCTAGCAGAATCTCCAAACCACTAGCAGCTAGTCAACATTTGTCTGATGTATTGTGTTCTGCGTGTGTGGCTTTCAGGTCCTGTTCTCCTGCATCTTCTTCTAGCATACATTCCAGATGGAACTTGTGATAATACTTCTCCCACAGCAGCCACATATATTCACCAAATTGGAAAGTACTCAGTATTTCTAAATTAATTGGGTTTAATATGAAGTGAAAGTTAGAAGTGACACAGCTTTAGTTAGAGCGGTGATGACAGATTCAGCTGTGCTGTTGGTAAATTGCTTACTGCAATATCATGTTCCCCAACAGGCTTCTTTCCATGTGTTGCTTGTTTTTTAACTACTCTCCTTGTGCAGAAGAGCTTCTTTTCAGTTTGCCAGTGGGAGTGCTACTTAATGCTTCAAACCTGCAAACTTTCACTCACGCAGATATTTTATTTTCCGTCTTCATCCTAATAAGTGTCTTCTTGTGTACCTGTACAACATTGTGTATGTGTTTAAGAATAAAAGCTGCCTCATTAAAGTTATTGAGGCCCTGATTCAGCAAGCACTGATGTTCATATAGAAGCATCTGATTAGCTGTTAATGGATTTTACATAAACACATGCACTCATCCTTTGCCGAATCAGGATTATCAAAATTACTGGCCATGTTGCTAAACCTTTCAGAGAGCTGCCTCTCTGGTTATCATCTTTCTCAGGATGGGAGTGTGTGATTCTCTTGACTATGCATTGCAATCAGCAGCTATGACTGAAAGGTTTAGACTGTTTCTCCTGCAGTCAATGACAGTGACCAATTATTTTTTTTTTAACTGAAGAAAACCAGTTAGGAGAGGTGGCTCATTAACCAGACTACATGCATTTCTGGCTTACTAGGTACATAACTGTTTTACACATAGTTACCTAGTGAGTGCAAACTTCAGATGCCTTCAGACTTCTAGAAACCATCTGGTACATCCATATGGTTCTTTATTTTAAAAAAAAAAAAATCTCGTCTATTAAGATAAACTGCATAGTCCTTTTTTATCACTCTGCTTTTTCCTGAAATGGAGGCACTGTTTAACCATTTATCATCCTGTGGTTTGTGAATTTCAACCTTAGGCAAATAAGGCTTGAAAGTTGTTGGAAGCACTGTATAACATCCTCGAAGCCAGTTGTGTTATCCATTGTCTTCCAGGCATACACTTGGCTGTTTTTGTCTTTCTGCCTGCTTCTTTCTCCCCTTAGCTTCCTTTTAACTTAGAGCAGTGAATTCATATAAGTATTATCTAGCATACAGGCTGATGAGGCTACAGGAAATGTGCCTATTCTTATTTGAATAATGTTGGATTATTACAAAGTTTCCATTACAGCACAAGGGCTGCAGTGTGTTTTTATGTTGTTACTTGCTTAAAATCATCTGTAACTCGATTATGACCTTTTGTATTCAGTTTATAGTTTTAAGTATTATTTCCAGCAGTAGGATTGTTCACATGCCTAAGGGGTTGCAGTGTTGGGTCACCAGGTCCCATTTTGATCAATGCTTGGTGTCAGGTCAGTGCTCCCAAGGGGAGTAGTGCAAGACTCATGCATAGTAAAACTGCTCAGTGGTGCAGAACACAACCCTGTTCAATCAACAAAGCTGCAAGCTCGTACTCACATTCTGATTACACTGACAAAACAGTGTGTTCTCTTCTCCCCCACCCTCCTCCCAAAGATCCACATTGAAAACTTACAAAACTATAATGGGCTGCTTCCTACTATGGTAGGATAGAAAATCCAATATGAAAAACAGCTTCCAAGCATGCACATTCTTCTTGAAATTACATATAGATCTCTTTTTAAGGGTCACTTTAAGGTTAGATCGTGACAAGTCAGTGATGATGCTCAGCTTGTTAGCAGAGTTTCCCCCTCCCTTCTTTCATCTTTCAGAACTTTATTTTCAGAAGCTGAAAGACCTAAGGACTGAGCATGGGAAAGAAGTGAATGCAACATGATTTGTAGCAGTTTATATAGTCTCTTTGTCATCACTAAAATGCTCATCTAGAAAAATTTTGGATCATGAATGAAAAAGAACATGAGAAAAAAATGCAGTCTGCTTCTTCTACCCTCATCTTAAACAAAAATGGAAGTTTGGGGATTAACTAGAGGTAATCTACCACTAACTGCAGATGATCTTTTTTTTTTTCCTTACAACAGTAGTCCAGTTAAAACACCTGCCCTGTGTTGATGATATAAAAATATGCTGCAAGATAGAATCTTTTTTGCAATCTGGTGAATGTCCCTTTTGTAAAGTGTATATTGAATTTATGTTGATGCAAACCAGGGGCTCTTTGACTTTAAAGCACAAAGAATTTTACTACCTTTGCAACAGTCATAGCACTTTCAAGCTTTAAGCAGAACAATTCAGACTACTTGAAGTTCTTTTTCAGCTGTTCTTTGAATTAAGCGAACAGCAATATTAATCCAGCACTTCCGAGACTGCTGGTGCAGCACTTTGTCAGCTTCCTCAGACATATTCACAGCAATCCCACTGATGAAGTCCTGGAATTGCTTTAACAGCAGAGTGCAGTGCAACTGAAGATGTCTTGGAAAAGGGTTGTATTTTTTCATTTCTAAACAGTTAATTTCCAGACTGGGATTCTGTTCCAGTGGAGTGGCCTTTCGGGATTGCTGATGCACAGTGAGGAATGCTAAAGGGGACAAACGTACTCAGCAACTGAAAATAAGGTGAAACCCTTTCCAAATAATTTCAACAAAACTAAGATGGAAAGATCTTACATTCAATTTCTAAAGCAATATTTTTGGTGCAAACCTAATTTTGTGCTTCCGAGTGTATGTCTCCATACAAATATTATGAAGCCAGATCTCAAATCTCTTACTCATACAAAGAACTCCTCAAAAAGGTAATTCTAGAAACATTTAGGGCTCTACTGACAAAACTAAGAACTATTTGTATAGGATTTTGTTTGGTATTAAGAAAAATTTTAAAACTTAAGGACTAGGATGTTAATTAAGTTACAGTTTTGCTTTGTTAGTATTTTAATGTTTGATTTCATGAAAAGCAAGCAAAATTCATATTAGCTACAACGTATTAAAACTTCAGTTTTCATTGATGTTTTCAGTGCCAAGAGAAAGCAAAATCAGGCTTCTTGTTAATTATTTATTGTCCCAGTTCAGCCATGTGCTTGGCTCCGTGTAATAAGCAAACAAAAGGGCAGGTCTTTACCCTGCACAACTTGTAAGCTGGAAAGTACACGGAGAAAACCAAACAGCTGGGAAATCCCCAGAGAGGGGAAAATGTTGGGAAAGGGCTTGACAGAAACTTAATTCATAATGTAAAATCTTGTTTATTTGGATTCTGTGGGACAGTCAAAAAGCAAGTTTTTGATGGATTTGGCTTGGTTGGTTATTCCATGTACAGAAGCAGAACTATAAATTTAAAATATGAGGTTCTATGGGATATTCTTCTTGGGTAACAGTTTTCAAGGATGAATAGAGGGTTTCTGATACACAGATCCATCTCGGTGGGTCAAACCCGGAAACCTGTGCAGAAGTGTGTCCTTTTTAATGTATGTTCTTGACCCTATTTTATATTCTTTGATCTTAACCTTTTCATGTTTCTCTGTTTCGGATCAGGTATCCAAGCGGCTGTACAGTATGGGCTGTTATGAAATCTCTCTGGGGGACACAATTGGTGTGGGGACTCCTGGAAGTATGAAAAGAATGTTGGAAGCTGTTATGAAAGAAATTCCTCTGAGTGCTCTTGCTGTTCACTGTCATGACACGTATGGCCAGGCGTTGGCCAATATCCTCACAGCCATCCAGGTAACTCAGGTTCTCATTTTATAGATATGATAGTAGTAGTCTTAGTTTAATTCAAATGCAGAATTTTAAAAATTTCAGCCTTAAAGAAATTACTAGGAAAGGAAAGAGGCACTCACTAAACTTTCAGAAAGTATTGCTCACACGTCAGATTGTCTACAGATATTACTGCTGTTGCTTTTGCAAGAAAATATCAATTCTTATCTACTTATTACCTTCAATTCCATACAAAATCACTAACAGTGGCGATTATTATATTCCATTGATTTTGGATGAATGAGGGAGATAAAATATATTTTTTTTCTGATGTCTCAGATTCCACTTAGGAACATCTGTATGTTCAATGTTCACTAAACTAAAATTACTATTTTACAGAGGTGTCTAAATATAAAATAGAATAATGCATAATTACATCTTGATTTCAGATGGATAAATCTAAATTATTGGTAATTATGTACACAGAGTGATCTAGATAATTTTATCACTGTTAACATGCCTTCAGTATGCTTTTTTGTTTGTATCAATTATGCCTTCTAAATAAGAGTAGCAACAACTTTATATCCTATTTAGTCTTCTTTCAAATCTGTGGCTAAATAATCAGAAATAGTTAATTTCCATAAGAGATATTTTTCCCTTTGTGTTTATATATTTTTAAGAATAGGGCACAATACAAGAAACAGACTACAAGTTCTAATGTAGTTTTGGTAAAGATATAATCTTGAAAAATATCTTAATGTGTACATGCATTCCTAAGGTGACCTATTTTTACTAAATGTTACAGAATCAAAAGCTGTTTACAAATTATAGGCCTTTATTGTTCTGTTTTATACTTAATAGCATCTTTTGCTTCCTTGCAATTCAGGCAGCCATTTTTAAGGTCAACTTTCCTTTGTCCTGACTTGTTATTTTGGCAGAGCTCATAGTATGTTGTTTAGAAATAACAGCAGTGTGTTAACAGTATTAGTGATACAAGCAACAAGAAGGAACAGGGAAATGTTTCAATATGGGAATCTCTGCAGGTATTTGATTAAATACTGAACGACAAAATCTGGTAAAAAAGGTTCTAACTTTTACTCACAGTGTTCACTATTGACCCTTACTCACTTGTACTGTTGCAAATGTGTGTGTATGTACCATGGGATAAATAAATTGCTAATTTCACAGTTAGCTTCAGTTGCAGATGTAATAGCTAAAAGCATGAAAACCCCTGAGCATGGGAGGAGTTCGCCATAAAAATACGTGAAGCATTGTTTTTCAAATCCTTCCTTAAAATAATTGCTGTCATGGTGCCTACTAAACACTGGCTATGCTTTGTTAACCCCAGTATTTGTTGTAAGTGATTCTTGTTTCAGGTTTACCTCCTGCTCCTATCTTTTTATTTACTTCTTAAATCAACTGTGTAAGAGTTAAAGGGGAAAAAAGCTCTTAGGTACCTAATGTGCAGTTCAGGCTAATTAACATGTAAATTCAAGAGAGCAATAGACCTAAAAAAAATCCCTGTGCAGCCTTCTCAGATTTCTGGGAAGCCAGGGGTGCCTGAGACCCACCAGAAAACTTCCTTATGTACTCAAATTCTGCTACAGTGCATGTCTGAAGGTGTGGTGTTTTTGGCTGAGCTGAGCTTGTCATAGATTTTGCCAAAAGTCCTTGATGAAGCAGGCATTACACAGTCTCTCTGACTGGCTTTGTGCAAGCAGCTCCTTGGCTCACTCTAAAGGTAGGTCCCCAGGCTCTTGGATCCTCAAATGGGGCTGGTACGTCACAACATCCTCTCCTGTCTCTGGTCAAAGAAACAAGGCAGCTAGCGGTACATTATAGCTAAGCAATACTGTTTCTAAAACAAGACAACTTTTACAGGTCAGCTGGATGGTAAAGTGCCAAAGCCAGTGGATCAGAGTGCCCAGGTCACTTCTAGCCCTTGCTGTCAGGCTTGCCTGTGCTTTCCTCTCTGCCAAAGAAACACAAAAGGCAAAGTACTGGAGTAAAACCCCTTGTCTTCAGCTCAGCAATTCATTTCATAGACCAGACTCTCCACAGACGCAATTCCTTACCCTTCCTCCTTTATGGGTCTGTGCGACTGACACAATATTTCATCAGGAGTGAAATGTGTTTGCAGGGTTATAGAAAAAATGGGCTACAGTTATTGTTTGAAAACAATTTTAAGTAACATTCAGCAGGCAAATTGCACTCTTCCTAAGACATTGCAGACTACGACCTCAGGCTGAGTACTATTGTATTGTATATTGTATTTCCTAAGAATTAATGAATGACAGCTGGAAAGCCACAAATCACTCTACACTAATTCAGGCATTGCTTCAGTGGGAGATCTCCTAGGAGTGGAAAGAGGTGCTGGTGATTCAGTAAGTGATTTTTTATACAGATCGCATTGTTCCATGCAGGATTATACTACCCAGAATATTTTCTTTTGTTTGGGGCTGATCCAAAGTCATCTAGAACTGACAGGCCGTATCTGTATAAGAAATTAGCAGGGAAGTAGTCTTGTAATTTTAGTATTCAGTTTTATGTGTGTTGTTTTAGCAAAAGGATAGGTAGTGAAAGATGGGAGAGAGATTAGCCAACTTTTAAAGGATAAGTAATTTTTTAACTTGTTGAAGTGAATAATATAAATAGAAAGCATTGCTAGAGAGAGGAAATTCACTTTCTTTTATGAAGAGAATCTGTGTAAAAATATGAGGAACATGAAGTGATGCTTCAGAACAAAACAGTAAACATGTAAAGTAGAAATATGACTGGCTCTTGGTTAAATGGTTTAATATTAAAATATCAGAGTATACAATTTACCAAAGAGACAAATTCAGAAAGTGGGAAGTGATGTGGCGATCTAGTTAGAAGTTGTGGTATTTTGAGTAAAATTACGTATGTGGGTTAGCTAATGTGACAAACACAGAATGTAGCTAAAAGAAGTAGTAAAACATTTATAGAAAATTGTTACAGACCTCCAAGGAAGGGTAAAAAGATGGGTCAGGAAACTTCTGTGCTGGAGAGGCCCCAATAAGGGAGACCATTGATCTGGGGAGATTTGAGTTACCTTGATAATTGACTTCCATAGCGTGTACAGAATGGGTAAGAAAGGGGAAGTTTTTTAATGGAAGTGATACAGAACTTTTTTCTTGCATAGCTTGTGTAGTTGCCAGAAATAGCTTTGTCTGTTTTCATAGCACATATCTGAACATGAGAAAGAATATGTGAAGAGGCAAAGAGGAGTTTTGACCAGCAGGGATACCTCAATGAATGAAACAATCAAATGGTAATCCCATAGAACTTTATCAAATTCAAATCACTATTGTAATTCATTAATGTAATCTGATCTCTACACTACTGGGATCAAATCCTAACTTAGAGAAAAGAAGAATCATACTCTCATGACTTAATTAACTAAATAGATTCTAGCCACTTTGGTGCATGCTGGAGAGACTAACCAACTTGCATATTTTTGTGGCTCCAGTTTACTTATGTAGTAAGGACTAGATTCACACAAAGGCAGTCACTGTTGGTATGGCTAAGTTTTAAGTGCCAGAACCAGGAGAGGAATCTGAACATAGATGCTGAAGTTCACGGTTTATTAGTTCACAAGAATCATTGTGTTACAGGAATAGAGTTCACAACAGCCAGAAGCTGAAATGGTAAAGCCTAAGTTAAGCAACCGAGAAAAGTTCGTGTTCAAAGTTCTCTTTTTCCATGATTCTTACGAGCTTACATGTGAAACCTTAGGTGAGAGGAATTTTCCACCCAAAACTGTCTCCTAGATATAAGTACCTAGCTTGTCCTTTTTTTTTTTTTTCAAACACAGGATTTGCTGTTTGTGGCTGTTAAGCTTTCCTGCAGTAACGGGCTGTCAAGACCCCCTTCAGCTGGTGGTTAGAGGCCAGCTAAGACCTTTTGTCCAGGAGTTGCTTGCTGTTTAGGAGCCTCAGTGGGGGCTCCCCCTCCTTCACTTGGGGGTGGCTTTAAACCTGAAACTCTTGTGCTTGGCCTCTGCCTGAGCTACCCTGCAGCAGTGTTGCAATCGCGCTTGCTCCCCGTCTTGTACCTCCCTGACTCTCACCCTCATCCTCATCTGCTGCCTTGACTTACTGGCTTAACCTCAGACTTGGCTCATCACTAGGGACCTGCTGGATGATCACTGGTCTGTGACTGATCTTGTTAACTGTCTCCAGACCTGATCCTGACTTTGAATTGCTGACTTAACTTCCTGGCTCATTTTTGGTGAGATTGCCACCACGGCCTGCCTAGCTATGACTCTTGGCTCCTCACTTGCCTTCCTTTATCTGCCTGAGACAGTCAAGTATTTAGAGGAGGGACTAGCAACCAATATCTTGAGCTTTAAGGATGGCTGTGAATGGCAGGTAGTGGAGTTGGTCCTGAGCTGGGAGATAGAGCAGTTGTGAGTTAGCAGGTCTCATGTGCTTTGATCTTGGAGCTCAGCTGGAGGCTTTGTCTACCAGAGAGGCAAGATACTGCCACTCAGTTAAATTCGGAAAGCACTTACTGGTGTCTGGGTGTACACAAAGCCCTAACAGTTCTGCACTGGGGAACTCTGTGGGGGTAAAAAAGAAGGGTCCAAAAAGTGAGCCTGAGGAATTGGTGTCTGTGTCTGAGGGGTATCATGAACTTCAACATCGCTTTTAGGTGCCAGACTACTTTCTTTGCCATTCTCCTCTTAAGTTTACGGACCTGTGTTTCTGGGACTAACTGACCTAAAAGAATATACCCATAATGATGAATTTCCAAATAAATACAGAATCTGTAAGAATATTTATGTATTAGAAAATTCACTTAGCATTTGTATCCTGCAGTCAGTTCTTTCACCTTTGATTTGCCCATCTTTAGTAGATGTCTGCAAGGATGCAGGGCTCATGCTAGCTTATCCCAATGAATGACTAGTATGTACAGCTAGAAGCCATGCAAGTTAGAGTAGCTGAATAGAATAGAATAGTGATAAAAAAGAATAATGGTAAAATGGCATGAAGGTATGGATAGCA